CTCTATATACTATTTTTTTAATCATATTTTATTTATAATATGATGTTACGCATTCATAAAACATGACCCGTATAATTGTCACACATTTACAACTATAATTTGAAAATATATTGATCTTTTAACTTCCTTAATCTTTCATTTTGTATATCATTCCCATTAAGGAACTTGATAAAGAGTGATTATTTAGTAGTTCAAGAATACGGTTACATAGTGCTCTATAATAGTATGATTGGTAGAGAAAGTGAAATATTAATTATTTGTGTTGAGGAACATTAAGGGATATAATGAATAGTAATTGGTGAAAAAATATGTCTATGTGATACTTTGAAATTATTGTATAATTTTTCCTTGATAAAATCCAAAGTCCATGCCCAAATCTAGATATAAAATTCAAGAAAGATACATAATTTACTGAGTTAATTACCTAAAAGTCTTATTTACAAATATTATGATAGCTCAGGTTTTATCTAAGATTTTTTGAAATTTACAAACTGAGAATATTATCAATTTTTTTCAAATTTTAAAAGTAAGAACATTATCAATTTTGCATAGTAATATTCTAAATAATTGTTTCACTAACTGATAAAAAAAAAAATAGAACATGAGATTAAACGTTTTTGCCCTTTTACTTATTGGTCATTATCAATTTTTTCATTTTTAAATTTTTTTTTTTTTTTAGTTTTACACAACAATGTTTCATCATCATGCTCTTTTATAGACACAAAATTTTTAGTTGTGCAAAAAAAATAATTCAGTTTTTTGAATTTTTTCAAAATTTTTTTTTTTTGCACATAATTTTTTTTTAAGTTTTTTCAATTTGAAAGTTGATGTTTTAAAGTTTTGAAAAACAAAATAAATGTGAAATCATCATATTCCTTTATAGATATGAATAAAGAGTAATGTTAGAGACCTCAAAAGTGTTGGTCTCACATCCATGTGAGACATTTGGTAGAAATTTTGGTAGAACTTTTGGAATCTCTAGTATTTTTTGAATAATTATTGTTTGAAGGGTAATTTTGACTATTAAAATTTTAATATGACTTGAAGATCTCAAAAATCTTAATTAAAACTTAATAATAGGAGTATAAGTTTACAAATTAAGATTTATTTGTCAATCTCCTAATTTAATATTATGCCCTAATCCCCAAAAAGACAACCATTATATCAACAACGGTTGTTAACATTCCACAAATTAAAAAGGAAAAAAAAAAAGAAAAAAGTATTGTATGTGAGAGACCAAAAAAGATAAAATCACAATTTATTCCGGGGGCTGGCTTCCCCCTGTCCTAAATCAGACTGACGGGTACTGTTGGATTTGTGGGGGTTCATCATGGGTCCTATTTCGATAATCGAAACCGTCAATGTGTAGAACTCGTCGAGTATTATATGCTTGTAAAAAATCATGTTGATCGGATATCGACAGCTATCTCATCGGATCAATTTTCTATTAACTGTTTATTTTTTCACTGTCTATTTTTTTATACAAAACTAAGAAATATAATATTCGATGAGTTTTACACATTGAACGGTTCAGATTATAAAAATGAGACCCATGATGGACCTTCATGGCCCAACAGTACTCTCCAGTCCGATCCGAGACCCGAGGGAAGCCGGTGTCTATTCCGGGTATGTGATGGAATCAATGAAATGGCACTTTTCTCATCCTATAAAAAGCACAGCAAACCCCCAATTCCTTCAACACATCAAATCCAAGCAGTAGTGTAGTATAGTATAGTATAGTAGTGTTCCAATCTAATGGAACAGTAGTAGATATATAGTGTTGTTGTGCTTGTGAGTTTGGGAAGATACCACATATACATACATACATACACACTCTAGCTTATAGGGTTTTTCTGTTTCAAAAATAGCTTCATATTCATATTCATATATATACAGCAACAGATACAACATATCTCTCCCTTTGAGGTTTGAAGGGTAAGAGAGGTGACAGAAGAGAGTGAGCACACATGGTCTTTTCTTGCATGACTTCTCCATGCTCGAAGCTATGCGTGCTCACTCTCTATCTGTCATCCACCAACCATTCTCTCTTCCTCTCTCTCTCTCTCTCTCTCTCTCTCTCTCTCTCTGCAATTTATTTTTTGCTTCTCTGTATGTGTTACCTGACCCCTCCTTCCCCCAGCAAGCTTGAAGAATGGTTTTTTTAGGATACTACCGAGATATGGCCATAAATTGGTCGATATCAAGGCCAATATATCTGTCTTTATCAATATCATAAGTTTCAAATTTGAATACATATAAATGCTCATACGATATATTTGAAACCCTGGCTTGAAGCTCTCTGCTTGCACACACCGTCTTTGTCATGTGTCTTCACGTGTGTGCTTGTGTTTTTATCTCTCTCTCTCTCAAGGGTGTGTCCCTGTATGTGTATGTCTAGGTTGGCTTTTGATTTTACACTGTTTAATGTGTTCGATGTCTGTATACCATTTTTTGCCTCCCTCTCTCTTTTCTCTCTTTTGTGTCTGTGTTAGATAGGCTGGTCCAACTATGGTGACTTTGCAGCAATAGTATAGTCGCCTATATGTATTGGTAATATCTTTTAAAGCAATCTTTTGTCAATACTATTTACCCAAAAATAAATTCTTTTGTCAATACTATAAATGGACATTAATCTATATGACACAATACTGAATAAATGTGAGAATAAAATTCAAAAGAGTCAAAACATGTGCATCAATTGAATTTAGGGTTTTGCTGATGGTTTTAAACAATTTGCATGTCATCACTTGAATCCCCAATACATATTAATCAATATTTTTTTTATATTTTACTAGATTGGGAAAAAATTACTATACAATAAATGGTATGTCAACTGATGAATACATATTATTAGGGCAACATGGCAAGATTGTAAAATATCAAAAATATCTTTACTCTAAAATTGGAATTGAAGTCATTAGTGTTTAGTATTTGACATGATCCATACTATTCAATATATTTATTTGTTCTGATATTCCGATTTAGAACCATGGCATATACCAATACATGGAAGGCACCAAAAGTCCATGTATTCAGCTGATGCCAATGGTGTTACTCCATTTTGGAAGATGAGTGCAGTTGGAGCTCCTGTTCATGTGGTCAGCTAAGGCTGCTATATATATATAATTTTAATGTTATTGTTTGACACTGTTTTATGGTGGCTTCCACATAGATCACAAAACTCAGCATGATATTCAGCAGCTGCACTACATGTCATAGTCTAAGTGACAACAGCAGAATCTATATACATGTATAATAATCTTGAACTTGAGCATGCATGCACTTGATCATTTGGTAGTTGACCCAATAGTTGAAAGGAAAACAACTAGTTGTGTATCTATGTACAATTAATCATAGTGTTTTGCCCACCAAAAAGAAGCGTGGACAATCAATAGGAGCATATATATAGTGGAAATTTGATCAAACCCCATAGACAGTGGATGGTGGAGTTTCCAAGACTCCTACACTTTTCAATATGCCATTAGAGAATCAATTTTTGGTTGGTTGAAGGTTATCAAGTTGCTCATTAGACCTTTCTCTTGAAGCTATTGCCAATAGAGAGTCAATTTTTGGTTGATTGAAGGCTGTCCAGTTCCTCATCTTCAGACCCTTCTCTTAAGGCTATTGTCTCATTAGGGTTGTTTCCTGTGAGGCTGCTTTTAAAATTTAAAACAAAAAATTATAGTTATTTTAGAATTTTATGTCAGTGTTGTAGTTGATGAGAGAAGTAGTTTAAGTTTCAAATATATATATATATATATACATATATATTATTGGAAAGGAAAGGGAAAGATGTTTTTGTTAAATTATTGACCACTGTTTTATCTAAAATAACTACTAAAAAGATGAGTGATCTTATTATTTTTATTCTCAACACGCTATTTCATGAGTGAGTCAAACACATGCATATATTTTAATTATCTGGCAAGCATTGAGATTTGAATATAAAATGCATTGCCTGCTCTAATTCTATTTTGATTGTTGACCATCTCATCTAAAAACTCATTTCTAGTTTTGACATAAATTACTATAAAAAAAAGTTTGCTTTGAGAAAATGAGTTGTCTTTGCTATGATCATATGTTTTTTTACTGTGCTTTTACTAGGAATAATTTAGACTAGTCTATATATGTGGGAAATGTAATGTTCAATGGCCTATTTGTGATTTGGCTTGGCTGGCTATCTCTTGTATCATGGGCAGCTGTCTCACTTTAAAGGGCAAGAAATTTAATAACCTGATCAGTCAATGCGTGCTTACAGCTGCAGTTTATGTTCTTTGGAGAGAGAGATGATTACAAGCTTGGATACTTCCCATACGAGTGTGTAGACCATTTGAAACATAATCAGCTAGCCATGGCTTGATGCTAAGAATCTCCTACCGATTGTAAGACAGTAGCAAAGGAGATTAAAAGAATTCTAAGGAACTTCTTGTGGGCTGATGATGCAGAAGCTTCTTTTTTCTATTCTACTTCAATCAATTGTAAAAAATTTAAATATTTAAAAAATATATATATATATATATATATAAATTGGGATTCAACTCTGGCAAGGAAGGTGATGATTATTCACCCAAAAAAGAAAGGTGATGAGCCAAGAATATTTGTACTTGATTGACAAATTTGGGATTCAACTCTCCCCATTTTATTTAAAATCTTTCTCGTGTTTACTGTATGTTTGTGTCTATATGTTGTATTTACTTCCATGGTTGAATGCCCAACTGAATGTAATATATCTCCTCTTCATGGGCATTAAGGTTGTGCTTACGTCTTGAATTAGGATATAGATTTGCATAGAACAAGAAAATGCGAAGAAAAATATAAATAAAATATAAACTAATTTTATTTTACATTTCCCCTGTTCTCTTTTCTCTCCACAAACTTTTACCTAAACACAGCCCAAAGAAAGGGGGAAATGAAAAAGAAATAAAACAGTTTTTTCATTAAGCCATCAAGATTTATACATTTGAGAAGCAAGTGTATCCTTCTACCTTAAAAAAAAAACAGAAAAAAAAGTGCATCCAACTTCACAAAATTACGAGTACAAATACAAATCCCAATTGTAAAAGAAATTTCTGAATGCCAATCATCTTACAAACCAAGAAGAATACATGTTTCTTTTTTTGATTAAAAAAAGAATAAATTAAATTAAATGTGAAAGTCCGGCTTCACCATCTGAAAATACATGATATTCAAAGCTGTAGTTGGTATATAATCCTGGGCATTTTCTGAGAACCAAGTGCTGATGATGCTTTTTGACAAACTCGTTCGGATTCCTGTGGGCCACTTATCAACAAGCTCGAAACCAAATTGAGAAGCAGTTGAAATTATAGATGGCTCATCCACTCTGCGTAGGACATGGCATAGAATTAGACCCGGTTCACACTCTTCTCCCTTAAATGAAATTAGCTCCTTTGCAGTTGCAAACAAGGGTGAGATTGCTTCAGAAATGTAAGTCACATCTGTGCCTATAATGATATCGAAACCTCTATCATTCAATCCCTTGATGGCTTCAATATGGTCTCGATCTCCCCATTCTAGTCTCCTTGTGATTAGTTTGTCAAGAAATGGTGGTCTGAGATTTGTAGCTACATTTTGATTCAAGAAGTCAAGTGCATTTGGATCGCCATCGGTTGCAACCACAAGGTCTGCAGATCTTACGGCAACCATTGAACAGATGCCTCCACAGCCGCATCCTAGTTCTAACACCCTTTTCCCGGCAACAATTGTTGGATTTGCAGCGATGACCGAAGACATCAGCTGGGCTGAATGCCAAAGTATCAGACCAGTTGATTTGCAGGTATGTTGGTACTCTCCGGAAAGAACTTTTATCTTGAAGATGTTATCTCTTATGTTGACCTCAATAATCTGACAGGAAGAAACAGACAATACTAACATAAACATAAACTCCAAAAAGAAATGTTGTAAATATGAGGATGTGGGTTCTGCCAATGACAGTAATTAATTGTTTAGAAAAGAGGAATCCAAACAAGACAAACAAAAAGTAAAAAATAGTCATGACTTGCTCCAGATAGTAGTGAACATTTATGTCATTTCATAACGTTGTCAGTTTCCTGTTCTCTTCATGAAAAACAAGAAACGTTTTTTTTGGGGGGGTTGTAAAAATTGGGGGGGTTTAAAAAAAAAAAAAAAAAAAAAAACAGAAACTTGTCTCCTGTACAAAAATGTTTGTAAGAACAAATGAAAACAAAAATAAAGAAACAAGTTTGGTGAGTTGCCGGAGGTGATGGCCGACGGTGGAGGTGGATTGATGTGGTGGCCGGCAGTGGGGTTGGCCCGAGGTAGCCCGTGGAGTTGGCAGCCAGAGTGTCTGTAGAGGTCATCCCAACCAGAAAGCCACCAAAGGTGGCCAGAGGTCACAATGGTGACTGGTCGGTCACCAGAGAGTAAAAAAAAGTGGTCATAGTTTCCTGCAGTTGCACGAAAGGTGACCAGAGCTCTCCAGCTGTCAGCCGTCAGTGTGGTGAGGGACAGAGGAGAGAGTAACTTATTTTGAAAACAAATCAAAACACCTTTCTTTTGTTTCAAAAAATTTTAAAAATTTTGCAATCAATTTCACTTTTATTGAAACAAAAACAATATTTGAAGAAGCTTCGTTTCCAGTTTCAAGAAAATGAAAATGAAAACAGAAAATAGGAAACGGAAGTGTTGCCAAATGATACCTTAATAACTGAAAAAACCTCCAACACCAGCAATATGCTAAATATGCATAAAATTCAACCACTAACTATATTTCAGGAATGTATGAGATAAAAAGTAGAAAGAGAATCATAACCAATCCATTACCTCTTCTTTAGATGTCGAGATACCAAACATTTCAACAGCCATGCCCTCTGACATGTCTACCTCAAAATCATTTATAGGTTCCTCCAACGTGGTCTCGTTGAGTTCAGGCGTGGAACCCTCTTTACAAAACAGACCTGCCTCATTTCCAGGTTTTGTGCAACATGAGGAGTTAGCATCATGTAACCGGAATACAGCTTGGACCCAACGCCTGATATCATACACAAGAATTCACAATTGCAGCAGGGAATATGCAAATACTAGAAAACATTCTGAAAACAAGAAAAGCAGTAGAATTTGAAAGACAATTTGTAAGTTGCCAATATGGGAAAATGTTCTTTGTTACAGGATTAGATATGGTTCATATTTTCTGCACAATGGTGTATTTCAAAACAAGTAATAGTCACCCACCCAAAAAAAAGACAAGTAATAGTCACAAAAGACACCTCTCTCCTCTCTCTCTCTCTCTCTCTCTCTCTCTCTCTCATTGTGTTTTGCAATTCAGTAAATCAACAGTATGAAAGCCAATGAAGGATTCAAGTCTGGTCAGTTATACTTTTTCAATGTCTTTGGTTGCAATGCAAATGTCCCGCTGTTTTAATTTTTTCCTGCTACACTTGTAATCTATTTGGAGGCTTATCAGAACTAATTTGAATTTTCTCCCTCTTTATTTAAGATAGGCATAAGACATGACTACTTTTGCAATACCTACTCATAGATGCAGACCCTAATCAAGTGCCTTAATTATGCTCATATGGCTACAATTAATTCACAGCTGAAACTGAAAATGTGATCATTTACCGATTCATTACTATCTCCCTTGACCGGTTCTCCATTTGTTTAAGGCAGAGACCATGTTCTTCAATGTCAAATCCATTTTCATTGAACAAATTCACCAAAAATTCGTCAGAAAAATAGAATGCACGCTGCAAACGTAAGTAGGTTACATGGTCAAATAAGAACATAATGCTTGGAAAAACGAGTATTTGTGTGACTGGAACTTACAGTGCCATCGCCTCTGACATAGAAGTTTTCACTGATCTTTTGATCCTTGCAACTGAGCCTTTCCTGTCAATTAAATATAATCAAGATATTACGACAAACAACAACATACCTAGATATACCTTAATGGAAGGGTTATGTGGAGTACACAGCAGACAATTAGAAAGATCTCATCTGAAAATAAAGAATAGGGGGTTTAACCTTGTGATCCTCCCTTTTGGGGGCAAGCAAGTTAAATTTTATTTCATGATTAGGATATTTGTGTTATTCCATTTGAGAGCATCAAATCTATCAAGCCCTAATGTAATCAAATGTCTTTCAGCCCCCACTGTTTTAGAAAAAGAATTGCAAAGCAAAAGATAACAAGAACATTATAGTAATTTTGCTCCAAAAATTGATCCTAATACAATCACCACGCACCTGCAGTTGAGCAACACACGCTGTTATCTTTAACAGATTCTGTTAGTTTTAGGCTTCACCCCAAATCACAAGGGGGTTATGTATACATTTCTTAGCCTGAAGAGGGTTGTGTTTTAGGGCTAAACCATATGGGGTATAGTGCAATTAACCCTTTTATTTATCACATACAAATTGCATTTCCTTTGTATTGACAGCAGTTATGGTTAACTTTTAAAAGCTATTGATGCATTAAAAAGTTGAAAATTATTTAAATAAATGTATACAAATATCATGCATGTATATATGTATTACAGGTTCTGAAAGCATTCTCACTCTAAATGACGTTTTCACAAAGGACAGTCCAGCGCTCTAGCTTCCACTCCATGCACCCTCCCAAGAGAGCATCAAAAGCAACTGGAATATTTACTATATAATTCTCTATGGAATTGTGTTAGAATACTTATTTTGTTATTTTGTTCTTTTGTTAATATTTACTTAAGTTGAGGGTACGATGGTCATATTGTTATGTTAGGGTTTGTATATATATTTGACTGACTGATGTAAAGTTGAGTCCCCAAGATTATTCAATAGATATAAAATTTCTCTCTTCTCTCTTTTCTCTTCTTCTTCTTCTTCTTCTTCCTAAATCTCAACCCTAAATTCCATCTTTTTACATTTTAACTTGGGCCTCGTTTGGGAACAGTCTAATTTAGTAACTTTTTGACCATTTGGCTAAAATATGAGCTTAAAAAAACTAGTATGTTTGGGATGACTTTTTGACTTTTTACGAAAAGATGTGCAAAAAGTAGAGAGAAAAGAGAATCTTTGATTTTTTGGTATGGGTTGTTGGCTTTTTGGCTAATTTAGTAACTTTCTGACTTTTTGGCTAAAAGTGAGGGTTCACAAACGAGGCCTTGGTATCAAAGCAATCTACTCTTCATTAGAAAGATTTCTGCAGACTCTGGAGATTGATTGGAGGAGACCGAGATGTGCTGATGTCATCAACCTTACGAGGACATCAGCATGACATAAGCACTATATGGACGGGTCTTCCACCCCTAGGTTCGAAATTTAATCCTCAAATTTATGGTGATTTTTGTGGAATTTTTTGAGCATCCCTGATGTGAGTTTTCTATTTTCGAATGTTTTTTGATTTTTTTGGTGTCAATCGACAAATCTAGATTTGGAATTGTTTTTTGTTGAATCTACTTGCTGGAATCCTCTCTTTAGGAACTGAAGCTCATCACTTCAGTTTTATTTGCCATTATTTTGTTGATTTGCTACTGTTGGGTTGATGTCTGCTTCGATTTTGGTCTTATTCTGCTACTATACATAGTCGACAGTGTTATTTTCCAACTTTTATCCACTGAAACTTACTGCATAGGGGCTGAAACTTATCTAGGAAAGTCTGGTTGATTTTACAGTGTTGATTTGTGTTGAATTCTTGTTGATTGAACTAGTGCCCGTGGCTATACTCTTGGTTGTACTTGCTGATTGGTTGATTTTACAGTGTTGATCTGTGTTGAATTCTTGTTGATTGAATTAGTTCCAGTGGCTATACTCTTGGTTGTACATGCTAATTGGTGTGGATAATACCTATTTGCAAAAATTCTGCTACCTTCATACTCTTGTGTTGAGTTCTTTGTGTGATTGATTGTCATGGCTGAAATTGAAACCAAAGCAATGGGTGTGAGTAAAGATGATGACATGCTCAAATCTATTACTACCAAGAAGTTGAATGGTGCCAATTATTTGGCTTGGGCTCATGCTGTAAAAATTTTCTTACGTGGTAAGAAGAAATCCCGCTTCATTAGCGAACTCCCTCCTGCCACTGATGACAAAACTTATGATGATTGGTGTAGTGAGAATTCCTGTGTTATGGGTTGGATCTGGCATAGCTTGGAATCACAGGTTGCTACTACCGTGGAATTTTGTGATACCTCTAAAGAAATTTGGAACTCCCTTGCTGAATACTTTTCAAATCAGGGTAATGTCTCTCGGGTCTATGAGTTATATGAGCAAATTTTTGCTATACGTCAGTCTGGCCGATCCCTTGTCAATTATTATAGTAGTCTCAAGACCTTGTGAGATCAGTTATTACAGTATCGTCCCTTCACTACTGATGTGAACAAACAGAAGCAACATTGGGAGGAGTTCATAATGGCTTCTTTACTCTCTGGCTTAGATCCTGAATTGTGGGGGTTCAAGGATCAGATTCTTGCTAGTGAGACCCTACCTTTTGTTGCTAATGCCTACTCTCGACTATTACGTTCTTCTTTGGGAGAGCCACAATCCATCTCTGGGTCCTCTACCTTGTCTTCTTCTGCATTAGTCTCAAGTAGTGCCGATCGTGGGTCTACTCGAGGGGGTTTTCTTGGCACATCTAGTTAATGGGGCTCTTACTCTGGTTCACAGGGTTCTCGTGGGGCTAGTTCCCATGATGGTGGCTCTTGTGGTGTTTTCAGGGGTAGTAATGGACCTAGTTCTCGTACACGTTGCGATCGCAAGTGTACTCATTGTGGTCCTAAGGTCATACTGAACCTTGGTGTTGGCAGAAGTATGGCAAACCCGATCATGTTCATCAGGTTATGGATGTTCCATCCTTATAGTCTTCCTTGTTGTCCACTGGCTCTGATGCTTCTCTGGTTAATTCTCATGAGACACTCACTACAAAGATTAGTGAGCTTACTGCTCTTGTCCAGTCTCTCCGGCCTAATCTACCTTCATCCTCTACTGCTACCATAGCTAGTTCAGGTAATATTGCATGTGTGGCTAAGTCCCCTCAAGCTTGGTTCCTAGACTCTGGTGCTAGTTCCTATGTCTTTGGTAATTTCTTTCTTTTTGATACTCCTAGACCTGTTGATCATACCATTATACTTGCTGATGGATCTTCTCGGCCTGTCTGTGGTCAAGGTCCACTCCACTCCACTCCATCCCTTTCCTTACCTTCTGGTCTTTATGTTCCTAAATTTCCATTTAATTTGCTTTCTGTTAGCCAATTGACTCAAGCTCTCCATTGTTCAATAACCTTTTCTCCTACTTCATGTGTTTTGCAGGAGCTCCAGACCAAGAGGATGATTGGTTCAGGGCATGAGAAGGATGGCTTATACTTTTTGGACACTAAGACCTCTCCTCATCCTCCATCTGCTGTGTTGAGTGCTAGTGTATCTCCTCTTCAGTGGCATTTTTGCTTGGGTCATCCCTCCTTGGCCAAGCTCAAGTTAGCTGTTCTGGGCTTGAGTCATGTTTCTCAAATTGAGTGTGAAGCCTGTCAATTTAGGAAGTAACACCGTAGTTCTTTTCCTAGTCGTAGTGTTAGTCATGTGTCTGAGTCTTTTGCTCTTGTCCATACCAGTGATATCAGAGGCGTGACTAAGCGCTCGCCTAAGCGCTAAGCGAGGCGAGGCGACGATGTAGCGCTTCATACTCACTGAGGCGAGGCGAAATGGTGAGGCGAAGTCGAAGCACATGAAGCGAGGCTTAGGCGACGAAGCGAGAGGTGATTTGAAGCGACGCTTCACCAATTTTGGTCTGATTTCAGTTCGAAAGATTTGGGCCCTTCATTTGGATGACTTTTGTGTTATTTGTGGACATGCGATGCACTTGATAAAAGCTTTCTACTAAATATGAAGTCGAAACCCTAAGTCGACTTCCTCTCAGTCAACATTTGCTTCGAACGACTGACTGACTACCTGCGGCTGCTTCTTCCTTCTTCGGACATCGTTTCAGTCAATTATCAAAGGTGAGTACCTTCTTTTCTTCTTCATTTCTTCTTCTTCTTTCTTTCTTCTCCTACTGCTGTGTCTTCGTCTTCGTTTCTTCTTTTCTTCTTCTTCCTTTCTTTTTTTTTTTTTTTTTTTCTCTGATTTGAAAAATTATCCTCCGTTTCTGTAGGCGGACCTTTTCTTTTTTTACTCTGTTGCTTTGAAAAATTATACTCTCTTCTTCCTCTCTCTCTCTCTCTCTCTCTCCTCTCTCTCTCCTGGTTCTGTTTATTATTTTGTTAACTCTACTCTTTTAATTTTTTTCTCTCCTTGTCTTCTTTCTTTTTTTTAATTATTTTTTGTGTTATTTTACAATTATTTTTCTGTGTTAATTATATATTTATTTTGCTAAAAAAATTTCAATTATTTAATGAAAAAGTTTCAATTAATTTTGCTGAAAAATTTTAATTATTTTGCTGAAAAATTTCAATTATTTAATGAAAAATTTTCAATTAATTTTGCTGAAAAATTTCAATTATTTACCGAAATTTTTTTAATTATTTTGTTGCTAAAAATATGTTGTTTATGGATATTTAGTATTTGGAATAATAAATGCATGATGGTCCTTGAAAATATTTATATTTTTGTCTATACTATTATTTCAAAAAAATATCGTTTGTGGTCGCCTCGATTCGATAAGTCCTCGCCTCGCCTCGCCTCGCCTCGTCGCCTGACGCTTAGGCGTTAGGAGACCATGTCGCCTCAATTCACTTTTCACCTTAAAAAACACTAGTACATATAGATATTTGAGGTCCTTCAAGAACTCCCATTGTTAATGGGTTCTTTTATTTTGTTATTTTTGTGGATGATTACTCTCGGATGACTTGATTGTTTTTAATGAAACAAAGATCTGATTTGCCTTCCATCATCTCTAAGTTTTATAATGAAATATTTACTCAATTTGACAAACGTATTAAGATATTTCGATCTGATAATGCCTTGGAATATGTGCAATCTATTGTAACTACCTTTTGTGATACTCATGGTATTATCCACCAGACTAGTTGTTCTTATACATCTCCTCAAAATGGTGTTGCAAAGCGAAAACACCGTCATTTGTTAGATGTTGCTCACACCCTGATGTTTAATATGCATGTCCCCAAACAGTTTTGGGGCGATGCAGTTCTCACCACTTGTTTGCTTATCAATCGCATGCCCTCTAGTGTTGTACAGACATCTCCCTATTCTCTATTATATCTCACAACATCTTCTTTTCCCTTGCCTCCTGGCATTTTTGGTTGTATGGCCTTTGTCCATGTTCTTGACCCTAGTTTGGATAAGTTATCTCCTCGAGCACGCAAATGTGGTCTTAGGTTTATTCTCACACTCAGAGAGGGTATCGGTGTTATCATCTTGAGTCCCGTCGCTACTTTGTCAGTGCTGATGTTACTTTTTTTTAGTTTACTCCTTTTTTTTTTCTCTGGGCAACAGTTATCTCTTAATCTTCTCTCTTCTCATGAGGGGGAGCCAGCCTCCCTCACTCCTACTCTTTCCTCTTATGCTCCTTCCACATCCCCTCCTATATCCTCTCCATCTCTTCTCACTTCTACCCCTCCTTTGCAGGTTTATCAACGGTCTCAAGCTCGTCGCATTCTATCTTATGGCCCGACCAGTTCATCTCCTTCGTCTGAGACCCCTGTTCCACCTGTTGATCTGCCATCTGATGACCTTCCTATTGCACTCCGCAAAGGTACATGAACTTGCACTCAACATCCTATTATTCATTTCGTTTCTTATGATCGCCTCTCTCCTGGTCTTCACTTTTTTGCTTGTAGCTTGTCTAGTATTTCCATTCCCCGTACCTATCAGGAAGCTATGTCCATCTCTGGGTGGAAGCATGCCATGGATGAGGAAATGAATGCTTTTCATCAAAATCACACGTGGAAACTTACCTCTCTGCCATCTGGCAAATCTACTGTGGATTGTCGTTGGATTTATACTGTTAAGTATCTTCCTGATGGCACTGTTGAGCGGCTTAAGGCTCGCCTAGTAGCTAAAGGCTACACCCTAACTTATGGTGTTGATTACTTGGAGACCTTCTCTCCTATGGCTCGTCTTAATTCTGTTCGGATTCTTCTCTCTGTTGCAGTTAATCAGTCTTGGCCTTTATATCAACTTGATATCAAGAAGCCTTTCTCCATGGTGATCTCCAAGAGGAGGTCTATATGGATCAATCCCCTAGCTATGTTGTTCCTGGCCAAGAGCATCTTGTTTGTAGATTGTAGAAGGCCTTGTATGGTCTTAAGCAGTCCCCTTGTGCCTAGTTTGATCGCTTCAGTGCTGTTGTGCTTGCCTATGGCTTTCACCGTTCCACCTTTGATCTGTTTTTGTTCGCCACTCGTCTACTAGGAGTATTGTTCTTATTGTCTATGTGGATGACATCATCATTTCAGGGAATGACTCCAATGGTATTACTAATTTGAAGCAGTATTTGGGACAACAATTTCACACCAAAGACTTGGGCCATCTTCAGTATTTTCTTGGAATTGAAGTTTCCCGCTCTTCTCAGGGCTTGTTTCTTTCTCAACGGAAGTATGTTCTTGATCTTCTTATTGAGACTGGCCTCTTAGGCACTCGCCACAGTGATACACCCATGGATTCTAGTGTCAAGCTAGATGGTGACACTAGCGACTTATTTCCCGATATTGGTCGTTATCATCGATTGGTTGGGAAGTTAATCTATCTCACTGTCACTCATCTCGATATTACCTATGATGTCGGTGTGGTTAGTCAATTTATGCATGCTCCCCGTCAACCCCATTTTGTGGCTATGTGTCGTATCTTGCAATACTTAAAGCGTGCTCCAGGTCGGGTTTGCTCTATCACCCATCTTCCTCTTTGTCTGTTACTGGCTTCAGTGATGCTGATTGGGCTGGTAATAAGACTAATCGCCGTTCCAAGAAACAGACTGTTGTTGCTCATTCTAGTACCAAGGCTGAGTATCGTGCCATGGCTCATACTGCTTCTAAGATGCTCTGGGTTCAGTCTCTTCTCCAAGATTTTGGCTTTTCTATTCCCACTCCTATAACCATGTCTTGTGACAATCAGGCTGTTATCTTCATTGCCAATAATCCTGTGTTTCATAACGCACCAAACATATCGAAGTTAATTGCCATTTTATTCGTGATCTCTTACTCCGCAAACAACTTGTGACTCCTTATATTCGTTTTGAGGATCAATTGGGTGATATTCTAACCAAGCCTTTGGCTCGGCCTTTGTTTCATCATTTATCCGTCAAGCCAGGCATGTTCGATCTCTATGCTCCAATTTGAGGGGGAGTGTTAAAATACTTATTTTGTTATTTTGTTAATATTTACTTAAGTTAAGGGTACGATGGTCATATTGTTATGTTAGGGTTTGTATATATATTTGACTGACTGATGTAAAGTTGAGTCCCTAAGATTATTCAACAGATATAAAATTTCTCTCTTCTCTCTTTTCTCTTCTTCTTCTTCTTCCTCCTAAATCTCAACCCTAAATTCCATCTTTTTACATTCTAACTAATTGAAAGAGCGCATTCTCCATTGAAAGAGCTCATTCTCCATTGAAATGAAAGAGCACATAGATATATATATATACAGACACAAACATGTATTCAAAAGATAGAATATAAGTTGTAAATTAACCTGAGCAAGGTCACCAGTGGCGTAGTCACGGAATAGCAAATAACCATTTGGCTGGAGAAAGAAAAGTTGAAATCACATTAAGAGATCATAATAGTAATATCAATTACAGATTTTCAAAATTTCATAGTGGCATTTACCAATCATTACCTTAAGAACTTTTCTGATATTCTGCAACACCAGTGACATCTTCTCGGGGGACACCGCGGACAACACGAATACCTACTTAAAAAGTCAGCTAGGTAACAACAAACATTACAGGAAAAGCAAGCAAACTCAAGATCTGAAGCAAATGCTAAATGAAGCACTCCTACAAGAGGAAAGCAATTAGCATCAATAAGTTGAACAAACTACTTTATTGAAATACCATGGTAACAATATCAACTGAAGATGGAGAAATATGCTGGCTCAAATCATCGGCTGTCAGATCACAAACAAATGCATTCACACGGGTCTCCATGAAGTCTTTATGTGTCTGCCAATTCAAATCAGATAATTCATGCAATTGGGTCCCGTAAGCAGAGAGTTATCAATATTAACCATTTTAGATATGCTTTAAAAATATGCACTAACCAAGTATCATGCCCAAGAAAGTTTCCCAAGAGTATTGCAGATAACATTCACAACCAATCGTTGGGAACCCTCAAACACAGAATTTAGCATGAACACTTCAGTTAACTAGCCTAACCCACAGCAAAAGAAGAAAGAAGAAAACAAAAAAAAAAAAAGTAAGAAAGCTTTACTCCAAAAGTGGGCAAACTTTACCTATGCTACTTCACGTCTTACGAAATGAAATCACACAAAATTGAAAAGCCCTCATTGTAAAATCTTGTACTCCTAAATAGAAAGCGAAATATACTCAAAATCATGGTACGCTGAACTTGATTGGAATTCCAAGAAATATAAGAATAGTAGATAGATTTCGGAGTATAATTGAAAGAAACATGTCATCCGACAATGCTCCTTGGCACTCTAATCCATGGTGTTTTGATGAGTATCCATGAACCCAAGGAATATCAAAGCGCCTTAGAAGCCATCAAGTTTTAAAAAAAAATATAAAAAAAAATGACCAGCCCTCTTTATGAAAACCAAAGATACTGTACTAACCATGCATCTTTCCCTTTCGGCATGAGGTTTACAATTTAGAGAAAAAGGAAGCATCTACATCAGCTCAATGATAGGATAATGAAGGACTGAGAAGATAAACTTTGCTTGAATTACTAACTGCACCACTGATCAATAGATTCTCCTCAACCTCACAGAAGAAGCAGTTCAACAGCCGAATTCATATCATGCACCTTTATGTAATAGATGCGAATCAAGACGATTATGTTGCTAACCTTAGACAGCCACAGCCCAATGCATCAAGTATGGAAATGAGCAGCAGTTAAAATGCAATGAATGAGTCACAAGTTTCCTAAGAAGCATAGATACGGATGCGGACATGAGACATGGCAATTTCAAAAAAATGGAGACACGGAAATGGAGGAGACTCAGCAATAAAATATGTTTTCATATATTTTTATTTGCTATTTAGATTAATATTACATCCAGAAACAATCAATATTAACAAAAATAACTCTAATTCTATATTTTTTTTATTTTAAAAAAAGCACTTATAAACAGTATATATTTTTTTATGGATGATCTATTAAGTTTTTAAATCTAACAAAAAAATAATAAACATTCAACATTCATTAAAAGGACTAAAGAAAATAGGAGAAAAGACTACTTAGCATGTCTCTAGTGTGTCTCCGGCATGTCCCCTAAAAATAAATTAATTAAATAAGGGGATACGCCATGTGGCATGTCCCATACATGTCCCCGAAGTGTTCGTATGTCCAACACGGATACGGCACTTGTTTTGAAGTCTCAGTGCTTCATATTAACTAATAATTTTCAGAACTTGGAACTCTGTCATATTCATCTTCACTGTCCTTATCAATATGGTTTTCCAACTCTACTATGTGAAAGCTATCATGCAATTCAAGAGCCCTACAACAACACTTTGCATAGCTATGTATGGGCCAATTTAGATGCATTCAACCATGAATATTGATGCCAATGTCTGCAATAGAAAACAAAAAGTCAAACCTTAACCAAGTTTATGGCACGTGGTGAGAAATCACATGCATGAATAAAAACATCTGGGTACATAGAAATCAGAGGAAAGATGGTGTTTCCCACTCCACAGCCAACCTGTTCGTTAACAATAGTTACGATTAGCCACAATAGCAAAAAACTGTTTAAAGGTTTCGTGAAGAACAAAAAAGATGTCTACAGTTATGCAAGTGATTTATGTCACACTAGGTAGCCAGTGACAAATACTTAAAGACTGAATCAGCAGCCACAAAGAGAACAAATGAATCATACTTTTCAATTCTAAACAGGAAGACATGAAGTGATGTGCCGCATGGCCTTGTCAGCAAAGAAGGCATTTAAAAAGGCACACAAAAATGTTACATCACATATTGTACAAGATTTAGTGTATTGACATTTTCCATAGACAAAAAATGTGTGTTAAGGTATCTCAATTAGGAGCGAAGGTCTTAAAGTTCAAACTACTGAGAAACAATGAATGCGTCCTCCAATCCAATCTAAAGTATAATTGATGAGTGGTACATGTCAGGAGACTCAATCACATTTTTGTGAACCTCTGGTATATCTTTCCAAGTCAATTAGCGCAACCCCAAGTTCAAATTTGCAGCATTATATGAAAAGTAAAACCATGAATGACGACCAAGTCCAAATATTTATTTAGTCGGCAAATGGAGATGGTTAACAAAGCAATCTAAGTGGTCAACTTACATGACAATTAAGGCGAACTACTAATAAGGATAAAACGAGTGGCTTGATTTACCTCAAGAATGACTTTTCTTTTTGCTCCCTGAAAAAACAAAGAATCAATAGAACATTCATACAATAGAATTCGTATACCAAATACAATAAAAAACCAAAACTGCAAATAACCATCGTCTTTTTGTACTCACAGAAAAGTAATGTCCCCATTCTTTATCCAAATAGTGTCGATCCTTGAAGAACTGGTGAAAGAAAATTATCCAAATAACAATCAGTAGCTTAGCAGTTAAAGAACTGGAAAAAATCATGAACCACGGGCATCTAAACAATTTGACAGTGGATCTGCCAGACTTTGACATACTGCCATCTTGGCACTACAAGATAACATAAACTAAATATTGGTCTAAATTTGATTCAAGGGTTAGATTCTCAAAGGGATGGTAACCACATGCATATTCGGGCTTAATTAATAAAAATAAAAATAAAAAATATGAAATGGACAGAAACCACTCTCTGCCGTCCTCCTTTGGGCTTCGAAATAGCCTCCTTACTGTAGAACCAACATCCAACAAGCTAATGGCTATAAATGAAAAACTGAAAAAACAAAAACAAAAGAGGAGGAAAACTGACTCTGTCCTGATGACGTTTGTAGAAGACATCCCAATACTTCTTAGCATCTCTTTCATACTTTTCTGTAAGAAAAATACAGATTTGAAAATTTCTCAGTATCTCTTTACGCATTCAACGCATGTGTGTCACAGAGAGAGAGAGAGAGAGAGAGAGACCTCTCCAGAAAGGGGAGATTCCATTGCTAGATGTAGAATATATTTGTAATTTTGGCAGTGGATGTTGTTGTTGCTCCATAGTGTCTCTCGCATCAGATGTCATTATCTAAGCCTTTCTCGGGAAGGCAAACAATAGAATATAATTCTACATTAAAAAATTTAGCTGATTAAACAACAAAACTAGCCTTTGGAACGGATTGAAATGTTATTATGAACTATGAGATGTTATTATTAACTATGAGTATAAATGAATTAAATAACTATTCAAAAAATATAATCAGTGTGTTTAATTTCAGTTTGTTGAATTCAGTTTTCTGAAAATTGAATTTTTTGTTTTTCGTGTTTTTTTTGTTTTTAGTAATAAATATTTTTAAAATTTTAAGTAATTTTTTTACTTTTTTAGATGCACCTTACTTGGATGTATCTAAATAGTAAAATATTTGTAAAAAAATATTTAAAAAAATAAATAAATACACAAAAATACAAAAATGTACTGAATTTTCGTATTTTTTTTGTATTTTTTAGTATTTAGTGTATTATTTAAAGATTTTTTCCACAAATATTATACTTTTAAAGTGTATTTATGTTAGGTGTGTCTAAAATTTTTTTAAAAAATGCTTAAAATATTAAAAAAGTTCATTGAAAACATTAAAATACAAAAAATAAAAAAGTAGAATAATCTGAAAACTGTTTTTTAAAAACTGGAACCGAACAAGTTTATGATTTACAAATATGGCATTATATATGTACAAGAAGAAGGACTTCTTTTTTAGACTGGATGACCTTACGCATTCAAAATACCACTTCATGAAAAAATTTTGTATAAACATTATTTACACCCTAAAATTTTCAATTTCTCTTTACATCCTCGTAATTCGAAACATACACTCTCATCCCTAACCTCCCCTCTTCTCTCTATGCCCCCTAACCTTCAAAACACTAACCCCACACCCACCTTGGCCACCACCACCTACTCCTTCTCTGACCACCAAAGCCACCACATTTGACCGCCATCCCAACCCCTCCCCTCACCACTGAAACCCACACCATCTCACCACCACCAAAAACCCCCATTCTCACAACTGTTTATGATATTGAAGTGTTGATTCGCTCCCCACCTCCCTCCCTCCCTCTCTCTCTCTCTCTCTCGTATATTTGTACACGTGTGTAAATATATATTTGGTGAGAGACGCAAATGGTAGAAAAACAAAGTAGAGAGATCGATTTGGTGCCGCTATTGATGCTTACACTGAGGAAAATGCTCAATGCATATATTCAAAACACATAATGTTCACAGAAAAATGTATGGATGGTCCAGATTAATCTAAGATGTGGTACCCACTACACTTCAAATTTATCAAAACCACACATGTATTTTTTAGTGAACAGTTTTGTGCACCTAGCAGCACTGGTGTAAAAAACAATCTCTAAAACCACACTATATGGATAAATTAGAGAGTTTGTGATGGATTGAGGGGTGGGGAGGAATAGGGATGGATGGTGAAGAGTGGACAGCAGTGGTGGCACCAGCCACCAAGTGGGCTAAAATTGTAATAAAATTTTTTTTTAAAAAAAAATCTGTGAAATGAGATAAAAGTGTATTGTAAATAAAAACTCCCCAATATTGGAGAGATTCAAAAATTGAGTTTTAAGATAACTATTTCTCTCCTAATAAGCTATCCAATCATGTAATTTGGGAGGAGAGACTCCCTTTTCTTTTCTCTCCAAATCACCTGACCCAAACGGGCTATTACTGTTACACTAACCAGTGGGAAATAAGCAGAAGAAGAAAACGCAATGTCAATTTTTTGGCAGTTTGATCATGTAATTGATTTGGGAACAAGAAGATAAAGAGGAAACTTAGTTAATCTTAAGGTACTTTAGTGTTTTCATTCCTTTTATTTTTTATGAGGCAACAAACATGTTGGAAATCAATTTATGCATAATCAGCAGCAAAAAGCTACAGTTTTTTTTTTCCCAGATAGAAAGAAACCCATTTCTGTATAAGCACGATTCTCATAAAAAGATGTGACAAACGCAATGGTTTAGCCAAAAGATAACAGAGAGTTTAAAAACATGCAAAACTAAGAACAAATCAATTTGAAATCGATCAAAATAACCAAACACTCAGATCATGAAAACTTAAATCACCAGCGAAAAGCCACAAAAAAAACAAAAAAAAAAAGATGAAAAAGACCCACCTCGTCCAACAGATTTGCGAGCTCTTGTGATTACGCTTATGCAATCCCTCCGCAACGAAAGCCTCTCTCTATCTCTCTCTCTCTCTCTCTGAGAAAAAACTCTCCACTGAGACGGGTTTTGACAGGGGTTGTAGTGTTTTTTTTATTTTTTTTATTAGAGGGGTCGAAGTATTTGTATCGACGTTAATGAACAAGTTTAGTTCGGCCTGCCTCGTTAAGGTTGGGCTCGGTTTATTTAATAAAGGGAGACTTACCAATATGTCTCGTATGCAAAATTCAACATCCATCTAACCTTTAAATAAAATATTTACACTAATTAATTATATATATTTTTAATTATTACTAAAAAAAATTTAAAAAAATTATTTATAAGTCCTATTAGGGAGACTTATACTACACATGGTCCTACTAAAAATTTATGTTCTCATAAGTACTGTGGGAAGTTTGTTGACACATTTACCCTCAATATTAGTTGTTAATTTCATAAATAATAGTAAAATCATATATAGGAAATTGAATGTTACCATAGAACATATCTATATAAACGTAACGTGACACCTACATAAATATAACGTGACACCTGTACGTAACGTGGCACCTACATAAACGTAACGTGATACTTGTACGTAACGTGACACCTACATAAACGTAACGAGACGCTATGATCTATGGCAACATTCAATTTCCTATATATAAAATTAAATGTTACCATAGATCATATCTATATAAACGTAATGTAATATGACACCTACATAAACGTAACGAATGAGTTGAGCCGAGCTGAGCTCGAGCCTAATTCCTTATCAAGTCGAACTCGAGCTCAATAAACGAACTCGAAAAGTAAACGAGCCGAGTTCGAACTCAACAAAGCTCGACTTAGCTCGGTTTGATTCATTTGCAACCCTAGTTGTAGTTAACAAAATAAATTTACTAAATTGTTATTTCTTTTTTTTCTTTTTCTTTTTTAAACAATGTTATATAAATATAAAATCATATAAAATTTTTATATAAAGGAATGTAGTCGAATGTGTTGGACCATTTTAATGTCTTTTATTTATTTATTTATATTGTTCATAAATCTTCTTTTGTCTTATTCATGAATCTCATCTTGTTCATGAATGGAGATTCATTGCTTTGGTGACTTTTTGTCTTGTTCATGAATGAAGTTTAATTAGAATTTATGAACTTGTTCGTGAGTTAATTTTTGGTTCACTCTCTATTTTCTCTAGCTTCATGGTCATTATTATTTTTTGATGTATTTTGTAATGTCTTAGTAGCCTATAAATAGTTCCCCTCTTCTACTCTTTTTAACAACAAACACATCAACTATTTTCTATACAAGAGAGATTACTAGCAAAGAATGGTGTTTTTCTTAGTAGAGCTTTGGGTTCGCCATCTTGTGCAAAGTTGGTCTGAACCGTACGACAAGTGGTCAGGCTGTTGTATCCTAGAGGAAACAAGTCGTAATTTTGTGATTGCTGCATTGTGTAAACGTGCTCTCGGGAACTCTCCGGGGCTTCGGGCTTGTGAGGGTGCGAATTCCCGTTTTGTTCCGTGAGCTAATACAGTTCGGACTCAATGTCACAGTTCTGAATCTAATCTCACAAAGTGCAATGCGAAACCGATAAATCACCAAAGAATCCAAATCCGGCAAATCGTTTTGGAAAACTGATTTTTTGTAAAGAAGTGTCAAACATGGACTGCTTTGCCAGATACAGAGTCGCCACCTAAATATTTTATCTAATTCCTTATCAAGTCGAACTCGAGCTCAATAAACGAACTCGAAAAGTAAACGAGCCGAGTTCGAACTCAACAAAGCTCGACTTAGCTCGGTTTGATTCATTTGCAACCCGAGTTGTAGTTAACAAAATAAATTTACTAAATTGTTATTTCTTTTTTTTCTTTTTCTTTTTTAAACAATGTTATATAAATATAAAATCATATAAAATTTTTATATAAAGGAATGTAGTCGAATGTGTTGGACCATTTTAATGTCTTTTATTTATTTATTTATATTGTTCATAAATCTTCTTTTGTCTTATTCATGAATCTCATCTTGTTCATGAATGGAGATTCATTGCTTTGGTGACTTTTTGTCTTGTTCATGAATGAAGTTTAATTAGAATTTATGAACTTGTTCGTGAGTTAATTTTTGGTTCACTCTCTATTTTCTCTAGCTTCATGGTCATTATTGTTTTTTGATGTATTTTGTAATGTCTTAGTAGCCTATAAATAGTTCCTCTCTTCTACTCTTTTTAACAACAAACACATCAACTATTTTTTATACAAGAGAGATTACTAGCAAAGAATGGTGTTTTTCTTAGTAGAGCTTTGGGTTCGCCATCTTGTGCAAAGTTGGTCTGAACCATACGACAAGTGGTCAGGCTGTTGTATCCTAGAGGAAACAAGTCGTAATTTTGTGATTGCTGCATTGTGTAAACGTGCTCCCGGGAACTCTCCGGGGCTTCGGGCTTGTGAGGGTGCGAATTCCCGTTTTGTTCCGTGAGCTACTACAGTTCGGACTCAATGTCACAGTTCTGAATCTAATCTCACAAAGTGCAATGCGAGACCGATAAATCACCAAAGAATCCAAATCCGGCAAATCGTTTTGGAAAATTGATTTTTTGTAAAGAAGTGCCAAACATGGACTGCTTTGCCAGATACAGAGTCGCCACCTAAATATCTTATTTTTTGAGAAATTTAGGAAACCCTGACTCGTGCCTAAGGCTACGTGTTCGTCATCACCAAAGTTGCCTCGGCTCGGGAACTTGGGTATGAGAGGGGAAGGTCATGCAATGAGCACCCCCGCTCGCCCGACCAAAGATCGGCCTGTACTAAGCATGATATTTTGTTTTTGAAAACACATGTGCTCTTACTCCGGTTTAATTAGCTAATCTTACTACGTGACGCGCACAGCATACAAGTATAGACTAGATCGCCTAATTTGGAACAAAACATTGCATGTTCGTTTGTGAAAATGGTTTGAAGTTTGATACTCACAAGTAGGCTAAATTCGGGATTCAATGAATTGTTCCAGTTCAAGTAATCCAACCTTCACCCACAGGCATTCAGGCAGTTATATCAAATAAGCAATTAACCCCATGGCAAGCATACTTTCATGGTAATCAATAACACACATGCAGTATGCTAAAGCGTAAACACTCACAGTGTACTCCGAGCCAAAACAAAGAACTAGTTAGAAATCATGCATGATCCTAGTTCATGTTAAGATGGCTAATGCAACACATGCGAAAATGCAACTAAGATAGGCTCGGCTATCTAGAATGTCATGTGAAATGCAACTTGGTATATGTATTCAAATTAGAATTGAAATACAATGCAGTTAATATGATGCGTCGAGCCCGGTGCATGCAAAACAGATGAATGGATGCCCGCATGCAAAGCATAAGTATGCTAATCAAAACACGCCCTAAAACTAATCATCGTAAGCGGTTAAGTAAAAGGGAGAAAGAAATGGGGTTGGAAGACATGCATCACACACACGCATGCTTATTACAGCAATTGGCCCTCTCGACGGAGGATTCGAAAAGTAGCTAACTAGCTAATCTAAGCTAATTAAACTACTTGTTACATCACAACGAAGCTAATTAACTATTCCTAGTTAACTAACTATTACAAAACAGTTAAGCATCTAAACACATTAACTACTTAAATACAAGCCAAAGCGTAAACTAGCTAATCACATTAGCTAAGTAAAGTAGTAAAACAAGGTCCTCAGAGGTAGAAGATTGCATGCATGCCCGGTCGCCTCGTTCGGAAATCCGTCGCGATGTTCTAACTTGCCTCTGTTTGCAGCTGTTCTCAGAACCTTGCACCAAGCTTCAGAAAGTTTCTAACTCACCTTGGGGACCTGTAGGAGGGTGGCCGACCAATTGTTGCTTTCCCCAGCCACTGGCAGACCACTTTTTGCTACTGCAAACTAGAAAAAGTGGTCGACCAACTAGTTTTTCTGGCTGGCCGACCAGTTGTTGGTGCACTTCTCTAATTTGCTACAACAGAGAGTAAGGAAGGGCATGGCAATGTATTTGCAAGATATGTGTGCACGACCACCCTCCCTATCATTTCATAAGCTCAAGGGAGTGTGGTTCTTGACCCTCGGGCCACCAATCACACATCTCGATGCATGATGGCCGAGAGGCGAAGTTGCACAATTCAATGTGAAAATGAATGCACAAGTAAACACATAAGTGCCAAAACTCTATCATTTGTACCATTCAAGTAAAAAGAAGACGACCGGGAATTAAGGCACGTTTCATCACTTCAAGTATGAAACGCCCCTCGTTTCCTGTGTTTGGACTAATACCTATTCCAAACAAAATACAACACATAACATGGCATGCACAATGCTATGTAACATGGAATATGCAAAAATACAATGCAACACTAGCGTGCAAATATGCAATATGACTTGAGCATGCAAACATGCAATGCAACATGAACAACCTAACAAGGCTAATGACATGCACAATGCTAATGCATGCATACTCAATGCAAGACGACATAAGCATGCAACAATATGATACAATGCAACTAGCGTACACAATGCAACTAGCATACACAATGCAAATGTCAACTAGCGTACTCAATGCAGCATACTCAATGCAATATGATCATGGCATACATAATGCGAATCAAGAGCATGGCATGCGCAATGCAAACAATAACATAACATGCACGATGCGATGTAACATAGCATACACAATGCTCAATGGACTTAAACCGAATGTGGGTAGACCTCAGCCATGCCAAAACAGAGGCCATAAACACCAAAACAAAGGCACAAAATACAAAGCATGCATGCACAATGCAATGGCCATACAAGTAGGCCTAAGAACACAACCCTCAAGAAGGCTCAAGGAGTGACAAATGCGGAACTGTAACAACACTAAATGCACTGAAATGAGGTGAGAAATGATGCCAAATCATTCAAACAAAGCAAGCATAGCATGCAAAGGTCCTAAAGCATGAAGGCTAATAAAGAGGACTACAAAAAAGGCATGCAATAGATGGCAAATATGCATGAACCAACCACAAGCAGAGCTCAAGCAAGTCTAAACATGGACCAAAACATGCTAAGTTAGGGGCTTAAAGGCCTAGGCAAGATGGCATACATG